CCCGCACCGCGCTCAGCCAGTGAGCGGGAACCGGTCTCCACATGGGATCCGAACCCTTGGCGGGTTAGATGCTCCCTTAAGGAGCTTATGAATGAGTAGTGACTTGAATCTCAAAATAAAGAGACTAGTGTCTCTTCAGGGAATCGGCTCTTCCTATGTGTGAATTAACCTCTTTGGAAACCATCGACTTTTATAAGTAGGTCATTGAGTCAGTCTGTCCTTACCTGCAGTCTGTTAGTACTTGGAGTTTCTATTTTATTTTTGGCCTCAATAACTTTGAGTAATAGGGCAAGCGTAGAAGGCCTCCTACCCAGAATCTAAACTTTTAATAAAGATCTAGCCATATAACGCTATCTAACCAAATGTTTATACACAGACCTCATGACCATAGTGATTGTTTTCCATATGAATCCTTGTGTTTGATCCTCATGTTCTTATAAATCTTAGACTTCTTACCGTTTTTTATTGTTTGTTTGGCTTCTCTAATACCCAGAATTTTCTACTACCAATTTTAAGGAGCATAATTTTCCATATTTTATTTTTTCTGAAATTGCCATATATTGTATATGTGATGGATACATTTGATATGGTAGGTTTTCTCTTCTTCCTGAAAAGCTGTTAATTGAATTTTGGGATGCATCTTTCACATGTGAGAAGAACTTAAGTCTAACTGCATCTTCTCCTATAATAGAATGTGATGATGTGGACATATTTTGTTGCCAACAGACTGAATTTGGTCTTGACCTTCAAATTAACATCTGTTCTCATCTTTATAGAGTAGCAGCTGCCAGGTATAATTTTCATCTTGAGAGACACCTCAATTATGTATTAGTAGGTTTGTCCTGCTGAGAATATGATGGCTGTTACAAATTATTTTCCTTTTTTCTTTTTTAAATAATTATTAGGCTAAATACACATTTAACAACTTGTTTTCTGTCTCAACCTAATAAGTGGAAATGAGAACTGGAGAATTAGAATAAATTGAACAAACTACTATATTAGTTTGTGTAATGAAGGCACAACAAGAGAAGTAAAGATCTATAAAATAGTTTGTACGTGTAGCCAGAGAGGCTTTGCTGCTTCTGAATCTTTACTTTTTTCAAACATATCTAAGGAAAAAAAATACTCTAGGAACTCAGTAAAACTATGTGAATGTAGTGGATTGAATTATGTGCCCCCAAAACTCCCTGAAGCTTGCATTGTGTCCCCCAAGTTTTATGTATTAGAAACTTAGCCCTCATTGGGGCCGGCCCGGTGGCGCACTGCTACAGTGCACCACTTGGGAGCGCGGCGGCACTCCCGCCAAGGGTTCGGATCCCACATACAGACCGGTTCCCGCTCACTGGCTGAGCGAGGTGCGGGCGCAGCGCCAAGGGTTGCGATCCCGTTGCCGGTCCCGGTCCGGTACGGGCGCGACACTGAGGGTTGCAGTCCGTTGCTGGACACGAAAAAAGACAAAAAGGAAAAAAAAAAAAAGAAACTTAGCCCTCATTGTCACAGTTAAGAGGGTGGGAAATCCTATTATGGTAATTGAAAGGTGGAGCCTTGAAGATGTGATTGGATTGTAGGACCATGCCATAGTGAATGGATTAAAAGTGGTGATGGTCATGGGCGTGGTTCTGAATGCTTTAAAAGAAGAGGACAGTCTGTCTGTCTCTCTGCTCTCTCTGCTCCTACTATCTTGCAATGTGAGACCCTTGGGTCCCTATTGCCACCACCAGATGGACTTGGGACTTCCCAGCCTCAGAAACTGTAAGCAATAAATGTCATTTTTCTTTATAAATCACCCAGTTTCAAGTATTTTGTTATAAGCAACAGAAACAGACTAATACAGAAAATTGGTACCAAGAGTGAGGTGTTGCTTATAACAACACCTGAAAATGTGGAAGCAGCTTTGGAGCTGGGTGTTGAGGAGAGACTGGAAGAATTTGGAGGAACTGGCTAGAAAAAGCCTAAGTGTTGGTGAAAGTTTAGAAGACAAGAAAAACAGGGAAAGTTTGGAATGTTTTAGAGACTGGTTAAATGGTGGTGACCAGAATGCTTATGGAAATATGGACTGTAAAGGACATTCTAAGGAGGTCTCAGATGTAAATCAGAAGGGACTTACTGGAAACTGGGCAATTACCTGGAACTGGGTAATTTAGAAAGAAAACGAAATTTATTGCTTACAGTTTCAGAGGCTAGGAAGTCCAAAGTCCAGGGAACACATCTGGCGAAGGCTTTCTTTGGTGGTGTCTTCAGTGACAGCAGGATATCACATTGTGAAATGGCGGAGCAAAGACAGCAGGATAGTTCCTCATGCATTCTCCTTTTAAAGCTTTCACATTGGATTGGATTAGGGGCATAAAGAATTAGCATAACTTGTAATAATGAATATGCTAATAAAAAAATAAAATACAGCCCTCTGAACCACGTTTCTGAGCTTTTGGTTAATAATGGGTTTCCTATGCCATAGACTTTGCCCCGTCACCAAAAAAGTATTTCCAGCTTGTTTTGTGGTTACATAAATTCTACTGTTAAATTAGACTTACGTGGGATATTTTCAGTAGTATTACTATTTATTGTTGGTTTTGGGGGGTTTTTTCCATGAAAAATACTGTCTAGGAAATCATGGAAAGGTAAAATTGGAACAGGAATAAGCTGCTTTTGCCTTCCTGTCTATGTGATGCCACATTAAAGAAATTCTATACTGCTTATTGTTGTTGCTTTTTTGGTCAGCATTGAGTTACAGCTACAAGAACTAGGCCCTGTCATTCGTAGTGGTGTCTATTCCCATCTTGAAGCTTTTGTGCCATGCAATAAGGAAACACTGGTAAAACGTCTAAAGAAGTTACATCTCAATGTGCAGGTAAGAAGAACAATAATATCTGCATCTGGGGTTTCATAACCTATAAAGTAAGGAGACCTGTTTCTGTCTGGGGCCTTTGCACATTAATTGCTCTATAGTCATATTGTTATCTATTTAATAACCATAGGAGGTTATATTAAAGGCACGTTGGATTCCCCTAAAAAATAATTACTTCTTTAACAATTGGTAGGTTTAGATGAGAAATAATGTTTTCTAAGGCATAGATTCTTGGACTGGTAAGTCAATGTAGTAGGTATGATCTGACAAGCATAGAATTCTTTGTAAGGTACTCACTTCTGTTAATAAAATACTTCTTTTGAACTGAGAAACTGTAGTTCTTTCTCAATTCAAAGCAGGTTAATGAGGTCTCAGATTTTGTGCCTTTGTCTGGCTCCTTCAGACATTGGCAGTTGGAGCTTACTGCCATAAGTTCAAGGGACAGAAATGGGGATCAATAAAGAAAAGAACTAGAAGTAGGAAAACAACTTTTTGCAGATTATAAAATATTTTCTGAGGAACATTTGAAGTTCTATGTTTGAAGTGATTTTCCTATGGAAGAAAGGCATCTTATCCTTGCTTTTCTTTATTTAGCTTTATCACATACGTTTGTATCCCTAAACATTATATTGTTTAGTTTTGTGTATTTTTGAGCTTCATATAAATGAATTTACACTGTCCGTTTTCTTCTGCAACTTGCTTAACATTATGCACCGCAGATTTATCTGTTTACACGTAGTAGAAATCCATTCATTTTTACTGCTGTATATACAGTGTTCTATTGTATGAACATATCCCAATTAATTTATCCATTTTACTGTTGGTGGATGTTTGGGTTGTTTCCAGGCAGATAGTCTCAGCTACATAATTCTTCAAAAGTGATTGTCCAGGAATCATGATATTGGATGTTCATTTTTTTAAAATGGGATTTTATAGCAAACACAGTCATATATGCCATGATATTTATTAATTGGTATGTATGGAATAGGTTAAAATGCTTATTAGTAATAGTATTTGTGTTCTAAAAATCTCTTTACCAGAAATCACATTTTTTTTTTCCTTTTTGTCTTTTTCGTGTCCGGCAACGGATCGCAACCCTCAGTGTTGCACCCGGACCGGACCGGGACCGGCAACGGGATCGCAAACCTCGGGGCTGCGCCCGCACCTCGCTCAGCCAGTGAGCGGGAACCGGTCTGTATGTGGGATCCGAACCCTCGGCGGGAGCGCCACCGCGCTCCCAAGCGGCGCACTGTAGCAGTGCGCCACCGGGCCGGCCCCAGAAATCACATTTTAAAAACAGTTAAGTGAAGAAAAAACTTTACAAAATTTCTGCACCTCTGATGGAGATAAAAGTGTGTTTTAAAAAGTTACATGTATGTATTGTTATTTGCAAGATGAAAACAATAAATTGATTAAAAACGTCAGATGCAAACCTACTTGCTTTTCTTTTTTTGTTGTTTTTTTTGTTTTGTTTTATTGTTGGCCGGTAACACAGATTGAACCCTGGACCTTGGTGTTATTAACACCACGCTCTAACTAACTGAGCTAACTGGCCAGCCCTACTTGCTTTCCTTTTTACCCTTGAACTCACATGAGTATGAGTCTTCAGATTCCTCTTTCACTTTGGCCTTGACCTTGCATTTTTGCTTGCAGTAAAAGTCATAATTACTAGCAATAACTGAGAGAACAGGATGCCAACATCCTGTTGGTAGTCACCCAAACCAAACTGTTTTCCAGTGTTCCCCATCATATGGGGTTTAATCAATATTAGTCTGCACAATGTAGATTTTGTTCTCTATTTAATCATTTGCATTATAGTTAAAGTGTCCATATAGTTTATGGGTGAAAACATGGACATTTTAAAGAATATAAAAGAGCGGTATTAATAATTATGCTGGGGCAACAGGCAAAAACAGGGACTCCTTGCTTACTGCGAAATATGGTCCTAATTTTGTATCTAGTGTGCATTATGAAAAGTCAGTGCTATAGAAGAAATGTCCATATTTCAAACCTATAATCAATATCTAAAACATAAATTTTGTCTTTTGAGGATCTGCTTACAAAATAAATTTGAAAAACTTTTAGTATTTTTTTCCCCTCAGGATGATCGTTTAAGAGAACCTCTGCAAAAACTGAAACTGGCTGTTAGCAATGTCATGCCTGAACAGCTATTTAAATACCAGGAGGACTGCCAGGCTCGTAGTCAAGCTAAGTGTGCCAAGTATGTACCTCTTCTATTTGGACTGGCTTTTGCATTTGAGAAGTACTTTTAGCTGTTAGGGATTGGTCTTAAGTGGACCTCATCGTTAAGTAGAAATCCACAAACACCACTGAAATGATTTAATATTTTCTAAATGACATGTTACTTCCCGTTCAATTGCTTTAGTGTCAAAGGCAAAAGGCACTATTGATTTAGTGTATGGATGTGATCAAAGCAAGAGCTGACACTGGTCAGACATTTTACATGTTGACCAACGTGACTAGCTGGAGTTGGACACAAATATTTTCTGACCTAAAAGATGAGTGTTCATGCCTTTAGATAATAGTTTGAAAACTTTATATACCAAACCACTTTATAATTCACTCCAAATTCAAAGTATTTTGTGGAAAGGTAGATTCCCTATTTACCCTGTCTTTTGAATTAACATTCAGTTAAGCAATTCAACAAGTGTTTGTGGAGCATATTATAGGCAATAATGTGTTGGCTTCAAACTTTGCTTCATAAAATGTTTTTTATTTTTAGATTGCAAACAGATGAAGAACGAGAAAAAAATGGATCTGAGGAAGATGATGATGAAAAACCAGGGAAACGTGTAATAGGACCAAGAAAGAAATTCCACTGGGATGACACCATTAGGTAAGATTTAACCAGTCTTCACTGCCCCCCCCCCCAGTCTTCACTTTTAACTGAATATATAATGCAGAAGTTTTCTCATAAAAAGAATCTATGGTAAATTGGAAGGTTTCTCATAAAAAGAATCTATGGTAAATTGGAAGCAACTGAGATTAGTGTGTAAGAAAAATTTAAGAGAAGATTAATTTGGTCCTAATATCCGTATGATGTTATCACTTTTATTTTCATATAATACTTTTTGTAAGCTAATCTAATAATGGAGTCATACTGGTTTTTCATAAGGTGAAATATTCAATATACTTGTGTAAATCAGCCATCTTTCTTACCAGTAGGAGGATACTTCAAAAAGTTCATGGAAAAGTAGAATTAAGATAATAAGCATCTTTCCATGAACTTTTTGAAGACCCTTTGTATTTTTATACCCCAAGTAGAAGACTGTTCCTTTCAATCTTTGGTGCCTTGATTACAGTAATCAAAGGAAATTGTTTCATATTGGGAGTTTGACTGTAGTGCAGTAAATGATATATTTTAGAAATTATCTATGTTAGGGGCCGGCCCAGTGGCGCACTGCTATAGTGCGCTGCTTGGGAAGTGCGGTGGCGCTCCCGCCGAGGGTTCGGATCCCACATACAGACTG